GATTGATTTAAGATAATTGAGCGATTTTTAACTAACTGATCACTAGTAATACTTGCATAATTATTAAAAAAAATAAAAATTACTGTCCTTTGCAGAGGAAATAATCATTACCATTAAAAAGAAAAAAATGACAGAAAATGTAAAGCTTAATTTAAAACTTACCACATCTAGGATGCTATGCAGCAGCATTTGGAATTGTATGACTGTAGTTGTACTGTAGTGTTTAACAGGCCGGGCCATGTTGTACAGATCATTTTTTTTGGTCAGGTTCAGGTGGTTCAAAACATCCTGATAACCACATTTACCCTCAGAGGAATCCCTATTTACTGGAAAAATATCAAGATACATTCAGAGCTTATTCTTGAAAGGAAAAAGAAAACATCAACAACATCAATCTCAAGCTTTTAAACTGGAAATGAAGTGCTTTCTATTAATGTTTGTCTGTACATCAGATTTATGGTATGTGTTCCTAATTACTTATAATTTATTTTTAAAAAATGCATTCATTGGCAGGGATCCACTGCTTCTGAATGTATTTTCTAACCTTTAATAAAACATCTGCTCAAAAATATCTGCAGTAATACCCACAAATTGTGGTCACTAATGATGGCCATTATGAGGTGGGTGTTGGCAGGACTGCCGACTTTTATCCACAATGTGAGCATTTTGCAGTCATTTAAGTCTAAATAGGTTTTCCATTTGAGATCCATCTGTTACAGGTTTTCCAAATGCATGTTGTTCAAATCAAGGACAGCCGTGCAATTTTCTACTCAACCCAGGGCCAAACTGGGATAATGATTTATTCCGGGTATCTTAAGGTCAACCGAGGCCAATCCTCATGCATTTACAAAAGACCATGTATAATTTGAAAAAATACTTTCTTTTTACTGTTTATTACAGTAATATTTCTTGTAGTTTTATTACTACACACAAAAGCTGCTTAAAAAAACATCCAAAATAGTTCAAAACAGAACAGTGTTTTCAATTTCAAGACTTCCATAATTCAGGCTACAGGAATATATATTCATGCATATAATTACTGGGTACTTTTGGTGTGTTTGTTTCCTCTACATACTTTTTTCAGAGCTCTGATTGAAGTTCTGTTGATCATCATGTTGCTCCGGTGGCTCTGTGTAATTGGATGTACTTCTACCTGACAGAAAAGAGGACACATGTCTTTATGTTAAGTATGATTTACTTGCACACATCTTCTTTCCAACACAGAATGATAAAGTGTAAAATGTTTTAGATATTTAAAATATAGAATCATCTTGGGAAGGGTAGTTGTGACATTATCATGTCCTGAGGACAGACTTACTAGTATGTATGTAAGTATGTAAGATGATCAGGTTGAAAGCAGCTGATGGTCTACTTGTGTCACATGTTTGTTTTAACTTTCATTTACCCTGACTCAAGTGTTGTTGAAAACTGTTAGCAACAGTTCTCACAGAAAACTATTTTGAAATCCAATGAATCTTATTATTTGACATTCTAAAACATGTCATTCTAAAAAGAAAATTGGGAAAGAGAACCAATTTATCTTTTATCTCTGGTGGGATTTAGCTATGCAGGTAGTTGTGGTTTTAACTGCTTTTGAGATGTCAATATCCAAAATGTTTGCCTCTACGCTATAACAATGGAGGTGAATGGGATTTTGTTTGTGGAGCCCACAATACTGTAAAATTTCAATAAAAAAACTCAACAGCAATTTTTTCAGGAACAGTGTCCCATCTACTCTGAATTATCCACATACACAGACACAATAAATTTCAACTCTGAAACTCTGACTTAATGTGTGTGTGTTCTTAATAAAAAAAATTAAAAACACTAGTCTGAGAGAGTCTAGAGAACACAAAGACAGGAACAAGAGAGAGACAAGAAACACAACCTCCACCACAAGTCCAAAGACAAACATGAGTTCAACATGAACCAGGATGGGTCACACAAGCCAGGGTGGAGGTAGTGAGGACTAAACACAAGAACCAGTAGTTGAGCGGGCCGCTGACAGGGGACCAGGAGTAGGTGTCGAGGTAGAGGCCAACTCATGTCCATCCCCCGACAACACTTTAATATCCACTGGGTCCATATTGGTCAGTTTGTACTGTTATGGATGTAGATAATGCAGCCACAGAGAAGGATTCAGACCCAACATGCAGACGTTACAGCGGATTGAGTACAGTGTACAGTGTTTAATTAATAATAATAATATAACAATAATCTTTATTTGTAGAGCACTTTTCAAAACAAGTTACAAAGTGCTTTAACAAGTGTAAAGACAATAATACCCAAAAGACAATAATGCAAGAAAACATTGAAAAGACTAAAATACCGGTTTAAGATAAATATAAAATTAGTAAAATAGAATAAAATAAAAGTGGTAAAATAAAGTCAAATAAGATCGGATATCGGAATAAGACAGTATGTTTTAAGAAGTGAGTCAGCTGACCTGATTTCCTCAGGCAGGCTGTTCCAGAGCCTCGGGGCAAACAGAAACTCAATCCAAATCAAAAGTAGTACAGGAAACACAAAAAAAACACTCCCCAAGATACATACACTATTCAAACGGGCAGAGACACTTCACGGGGAAGGAAGCAATACAAAATGATAAGGACGAACGGAACCAAGCAAATTATAAAACATAGGGAGGGAACTGAACACAGATAACACACATTAGGGCAGGTGTAAACAATCAATTAAGGAACACAAAGACAGGAAACAAAGCTGACAGCACACACTAGGAAAGACACAGGAAATAACTAATCTAATCTATAATAGTTTTATTATATGTGAGCATTTTTGCAGTCATTTAAGTCTAAATAGGGTACATCTGGTACACGTCCAAATGCATGTTGTTCAAATCAAAGACAAGAGTGCAATTTTCGGCTCAACTCAACCTAGGGATGGAGTAGAATAATAATTCAGGCTGGGAATCTTAACATCAGCCCAGGCCAATTGTCATGCAGTCACAACAGACCATGTATACTTTGTTGAAGTACTTTTTCTGTTTACTGTTTATACCAGTATTACGCACAAAAACTGCTTTAAAAAACATCCAAAATAGATCAAAACAGAACATTGTCTTCAGTTTCAAGGTTTCCATAATTAAAGCAACAGGAATACATATTCATGCATATAATTACGGAGTACTTCTGGAGTGTTTGTTTCCTCTACATACTTTCTTCAGAGCTCCGATTGAAGTTCTGTTGATCATCAAGAAGCTTTAGTGGCTCTGTGTAATTGGAGGTAATTCCTCCTGACAGAAAATAGTGTACAGGTCTTTTTAAATTTTCAATATGATTTCCCTGCACACACATCTCCTGCTTTCTTACACAGAATGATTAAGTGTTAACACAATTTATTAGTTATTTATAACATAGAATCAACAGGACGGGGTTAGGGTTAGGATGGTCATACTAGTATGTATTATGACCAGTCACGGGTGCTGACAGGTAGAGATCCCATCAGGTTAAAAGCAGTTCTGAAGTTTCCTAGTGTTCACTTTGATTTACCATGACTCAAGCCAATTCAATGGGAGCAGTTGTTGTTAAAACTGTTAGCAAAAGCTCTCAAAAAACAATTCTGATATCGTATGAATCTTATCTCTGGTGAGATTTAGCTCGGCAAATGGTTGTGGTTTGTTTTTTTAATTGTTTTTTTAAAAGGTCCATCTTCACATTTTTTGTCTCTACCCTAAAACAATGGAGGGAATGGCATTTTGTTTGTGGAGCTAAATTGCAATGGCAATTTAAAAAATCAACGGCAACAATTCCAGGAACAGTGTCCCAGTTACTCTGAATTATCCAAATACCACAATGTGAGCAGTTTTTGGAAAGACATTTTCACAGTATATTTAGTTTAATTATTCAAGCACAAATACTCCATTCACCTTCATTGTATAGGGGTGGCAAAATAAAATTCACACAGACAAACCCAAATATTCTGTGTGGACAGATACCAGTTAAGGTTTTACTATAATTGTGTGAACTGAACCAATAATCAACTCTGAAAACCCTGGAATTCAAGTTTGTCAACAGTACACCTTCCACACTGGAAGCTGGTAAATGGTTTATGTTGTTTCTGTGATGATGTTAAAAATAAACAGTGTTTTAATATATTAACAAGCAGTGGTTAATAACCAGGAAATTATAGGTTTATCCATACTGCAGAACTGTTCTCAGGTTACACCTGCATGCATCATACAGAATTATCCCAGCTTACCTGTGAGGGTGAGCAGAAAGAGGAAAACTGCAAGCATCATGACTGTCCTTTCTCTGTTGTCTGGAAATGTTTGTTGCAGCAGTAAAATCACAGCCTTGTACTAAAAGAGGGCTGGGCAAATGTAATGACTGACTTTTTTTGTCTAATGAAAGAAACAAACTTAATGCAATAAAGCTGCAACAAACTGCCAACGCCCCCGACACTTAGCTGCCTGTTGGCAGAACAATTTTGCTATCAAACCAAAAGCAGTTAACTTCTCACTTCAACTGCTATTGTTGTTTAGTTAGAAGTACAATGTAGGAACTCTGAAAGGAGTTTTATGTCAAGTATACAAACAAGCAAACTACAATTTACATTTATTTACAACAAATGTATAACTGTTCTCAGGTGTGACTGGTTACTGCACCAAGCTTTCCCTTCCATTCCAGGGCACACGTCATTTCGTGCCCTCTTTTGCCAAACATTGTGTTACTTACAATCGCTGCTTTTGATACAGATGTGAAGTGAAAGGAAACACTGTTCTGGAAGCATTTTTACCCATAAAGCGGCAGTCTTTGAAATGATTTAACAGTACTATGAATTTAATACATGGTCAGTAGTGTTAATTATTAACTTGGTGTCTTTTTTGTCCATTTTGGTTTAAAGGGTCCTTCTACATATGACGATACTCATGAGTCTCAGCCACCATTGCTATGGAGAAGAGGCCAGCAAACGGCTTCTTAGGAAATAAGACTAATGTACCTTAAGTTAAATTCTAAAATCAGCATACTAAAATCCACACAATGACAATGTTACCATGCTGATGTGTAACAGGTATAATGTTTAATATGCTCTGCATCTTAGTTTAGCATGTTAGCATGCTAACATTTGCTAATTAGCACTTAACACAAAGTATAGATGAGGTCATTAGGGTTCATTCTCTGGGGACCATGAATGCCAATACTTATTATTTCAGTCTGAACCAAAGTGGCGCGTCAATGGACAGGCATTGTCATAAATAGAGCCACAGGGCTGGAAAAACAGAATGTATCCAAACTTTATCTAGAAATGGATCGTGTATTTGGTCATAAACCAAAATTATTGGATGAATTTTGACCTAATCGTAGCAGTGGAGAAAAAATCAGGGGATCACCAAAGTTATTATAATTCATCCTGAGGGGGACATTAATGTGTCTGATCGTTTATTGATTTATATCTCTGAATATTTGTGTTTGTCTACAAAGCCTAAAATAAGTAGCTTTTGCTTTCCATAAGTGGCACAAGCAACATTCAATGTCTGAGTTTTTTGGTGACTGAATGTTTGTCTCTAAACCTGCTAAGAATTCTTAGCTGAACTTTTTATGTACACAGGCTTTTTACCATATAAATATATGACATTTTCTAATGCAGTGGTTGATGACCTTTGTACAGATAATTCGGGCAAGAGAATAGCCATTCAAGCCCCAGAAATGCTCCAAGTGCAATTTACCTAATGTTGTTTAGGTGGTTGATGTTCCTACTCCCCCACATGAAAATCAGAATCAGAATCAGTTTTATTGCCAGGTATGTGTACACATACGAGGAATTTGACTCAGGATTGTACATTGCTCACAATGTGCTTACTTATACAATAATAAAATAATAATATAATAATAATAAAATAAAATCGTGTTCTTGTGAGTGCACTGGGAATGCAAATAGCTGTATTGTGCTTTTTCCATGGCAAGAGTGGCTCGTTTCTCAGCCAGAATGTCGTGGAAGTGGGGTGTGGCGTGGAAGCTTGTTGGCCACTGCAGCCAGCTGTGCACCCAGTTGGAATAATTTCTCAAAATATGATACGGTAGCGCCGTCTAATAGCTCAGCTACTTTTATGCAAATTTTAATTTTCAGTGGGCTATTATATGCATGTGATAGTACGAGGTTTTACCTAACGAGCTTTTTGCATTTCTTCACAGTGCTGGAAATGTGCGTACGCCACTTCCCAAGCAAAGGTTGTGATCTATACAAAACTAACTTGACGGGAGAATGTGCGGTCCTCCACGCAAACTCTGAGACATGCGTACGCACATAAACTGGAGAAATGAGAAACGGCAAAATGTTTGTAAAAGATACTATTGTGTAAAATAAATCTAAATATTACCTCTGAGTGGTATAGGCCAATAAACTTATATAATTTATGAGTGTGGTTTGTGTTCATGTTTAAGTCTGTTTTTGGTTCTGTGTTTCTTTGTGTAGCCTTGTTTATTATTTTATTCATTCACATGTTTAGTATCTGTCTTGTCTCTTATCTTAGTTCTTAGTCCTGCATTTTAGTTCCTTGCCTCAGTTCTTAGTTCTGTGCTTTTGTTCATGTTAGTGTGATTCCTGGTCTGTGTATTTCTGTTTCATTATTTGATCTTGTCTTGTTTAGGATTTTGTAGCTTAGTTTAAACTTATGTTTATCAGCACGTTTTTGAGTCCTTAGTCCTATGTCTCCATGTTTTAGTGTAGTCCTGTCTCCTGTTTGGTCCTTTCTCGGTTCCCTGCCCTGATTTTGCTGTCTTTCCATGTTTTGTGTTTTACTTTGATAGATCTGTCCTGGTGTGTTCCTGTGTGCCTTACTTCCTGTTTTATTTTGTAGTATTCTATTCACAGGTATCCTTGTCTAACTTTGTTCCTGTTGTTGATTACCTGATGTGTTTCAGCTCCCTGCTTGTTTGCCTGTGTATATATTGCCCTCAGTTGTGTTCACTGTTTGTGACGTCCTTGTAGTCTTATGTTGAGTGTTTAGCTGTGCTTTGTTCTCTGTGTTTCCTGGATTTATCTTGCGGATTATTACCTTGTTCTCTGTTTTTGGATTACCCTGTTTCCTTGGACACTCTTTCATTTGGATACGTAGCTTTGTTTGGACTTTTTGCCTGTGCCTTCACGTAAGACTGTTTAGTTTGCTTTAATAAATATTTGTATTGTATTTTAACTGCATGCTCTCGCCTTTTGGTCTGCCTTTGGGTCCACCTCAGCTCTCTGACTGCACTCAGTCATTTACCATGACAGTAGGATGTCACCACAGAATGGACCCAGCAGACTTTAAATTTGAGATGGACATGTTTTTGGATGTGTTACCTGTTAGGAGTTGTGGACTGACTGTCAGTTTGCTCCAAGCATTAAGACCCAGCAAGCTGCTCTCTCCAAGGCTCCTGCCTGTTTCGCTGCCACCTGGCTTTCCTGACGATCAGGCAGACAGACAGACCCGTCCGGGTCGCTATAAAAAGGCATCATATAAGATCATTTGCAGTGAACACAAAAAGAACCATGATTAAGTATAATAAACACAAAGGAGATATTGTTTTTTGCAAAAGAATGCAGTGCAATTTATTCTCATAAATAAGGTGAACAGTTGAACAAATTACATTTAAATTGATGCCGTTATCGATGCTTCAGTCAAGCAATTATGAGTGCATAGTTTCATATACTGTTATCACATCACGTATTAGTTGCCTTATTGAGCCAAACGCTGTGCGCCAGTGTGTGGATGTGATGCGTTGCACAAAATTATAACACTATTTATTAAGTTGATCTTTCAGTGTAACGCTTATTTCACGTAAAACAAGTCATTTTTCTTTTGATTCATCAGCAGCCTCGTTAAGTGAGGAGACTGTTTAAGTAAATGTTCAAACACAAGTGGAATGTATTTGCTTTACTCTCTTTTCAAACGAGGGAATCCAAAGTAGTACCTGGGTCATCCAGTGCATCTTGCATTTATGTGTCCTCCTCCACTTCCGTCACTACTCAGGAGGGATGCCCCTTCCAGCAGATCAGTTATGAAGGGATGGAGCTACTTTAAGATACACTCAGTACAAGCCTAAATAGTTTTTGAGGAGTACCTTGTTGGCTGCTCTGTTTTTAAGTCTAGTTTAAACACAGAAGAATGTGCACACATCCAAACAAACCTGTGGGTAAGTAACATAAAACAAAGAATGACCTTCACAGAGTTATAATGAATCCAACTTGGTGGTATCATTAATTATGACGATGCAAACTCTGAGGTCCTGAGCTGTTCGAATGCACTTGTGGTAAATTGGTGCATCTCTACAGTGTAAGCCTTCTGTGCCCACAACACCTTCTATAAGGCATCAAAAGTATTCAATGTGCAGATAATTCTTTGGTTTTCACAATAGAGTAACTCCCCATTAATGTCACATACATGTCTTAAAGAGATGTCCAAATCCAAATCTATAACATCAGCTTTTAATTTTTTTACTGACAAATGCAAAATGTTAACTTATAATACTATCTTAAGATTTTCATTTACAGCTGTAAACGATCATATTTTCACACTATATTCTTTAACTTTAGAAACTGATGAATGAAGAATGTGATTTTATTTTTAGTAAATTTAGGGTGATCAATTTTAAATAGTAAAAATGATTTCTAATACAAAAGCAACAGTTTAACAAATTAAAATCATATTAAGCATTCATGGGAACATCAATAATAAAAGGTTACAAATGTAAAAGTTGTTTTGTATGACTTGAAGTAATGTGTTGTAACAGTAAATATAATAAGAGAACTTATGTATAGGAACTATATACTCATAATTTGAAATCAGTTGAGTTCAGGTGCTGTGGAGTAAAAGAAAAACAAGGCTGAGCAAAGCAGTGAGCTGCAGGATCTGGCAGGGACACACTGGAAGCTGGGACTTCTGTAGAGCTGGACTCTGGTGCTTCACATCTGGAATGATGCTGCCATCAGCTCCTCTGGCTCCTGTAAACACAACAATGGTAGAAAGTTACTGACAGCCTCTTCCCAACTGTCATGAACCTACTGAACTCTGAGATCGCCTCATGATAACCTCTCTGGCATGTAACAGTAAATATGGCAACGTACAATACACTGCTTACTCATACAGTATGTGCAATATTTATCTTGCTGCAGGACACCACTTATCAGTGAAGTCAGTTGTTAATGTAACGTTATATTTATTATTTTGCTCTTATGTTAAATTACTGTTGAACTGGTATACTTAACATATATTTTTTGATCATTTTAATGCACCTTTGAGTTGTCACAAAAGTAATCTGTGCTACACAATAACAAAAAGGGCTTGAATCTCGAATGTAAGCAGGGCCTCACAGGTTAAAAATACATACAGCTGGAGAGCCTAGACTAAACT